TTAAACATTTCTTCGGGTGCTGCTCCAGTTTCCTGATTTAATTTGTTATTTACATCTTGTTTTATTGGATTTGACCAGTCACAGTCAACCATTTGAGCCGAGTTATAGTTAAAATTATTAACCTTATAACATTGCGACGAAACATTAGGAACGAAACTATACAGAAACAAGATAATGAATATAAATGATTTCATCATGATAAAAGAATTTTTTTAGTAAAAATTTATTTCGAAAAGCAATAAATAACACCCGTTTTTATATAAATTTGTTATCTAAAACTCTCATTTACAATGGAAACAATACTTATGCGTTTAATGCCCGAAGCTCATTGATATCGGAGTTAATGGTCGGTTTTCGAATTTTTGTACTAAAACTCAAAACTTTTATAGCTCCAATTTGTCCCTTTCAACGACTTTCAATGACAAGCACCATATAAGGAATTGGCTGTTTTTTTTACATATATGAACAAATTCGATTGAAATTGCTTTATAAGCTTTATGTTTATAAGTCGAATTTCTGAAAACGGGTCCGTACAAGAGATTATCTTTTTTTTTTTTTTTGAAAAAAAAGAACGCCATTAATATTTTGGCGTTCAAGTTAAGTGGCGCAGAATGAGTTAATTAACCAAAAGATAATTAACCTAAAGATTATTTTTATTCGACCAATCAAAACAAAAGAAAATTTTTAATATATAAAATGGTTAAAATGGTTAAGGTTAAATTAACACCAAACCAAATCTTAATTAATCCATCCCTAGTGATATTCCCTATTTGATTGGATCGATCATATTAAAATCAATTTTTTTTTTTTAAAAAAAAAAAAAAATTCCTCCTCTTCGTTAAACACTTCGAAAATGGTATGTGACGATTTGAATTCAACATAAGGAAATTATTTATCAAAACGGATGTTTTGATAAATGAAAAAAGGATAAATAGATCTAAAAAAAAAAAATTGTGAATTTTAAATTATTCGTCTAGATAGAATTTTTAATAATTGAAAAAATCATTGATGATTGCTTCAAATCATTTTGATAGATCCTAACGATAATTTGTCTAATTGACTTTAATAGGCCAAGAAGGAAGCAGCTAAAAGCTCGAGTGGAGGTAAAAACAAAAAAAAGGTACAACCAAAAATTTTCACGAGTTTCATATCAAGATTTTTTGACAATATAAATGTATAATATATATATATATATATTTTTCCTTCTTTATTAGAAATGGTCAAAAGGAAAAGTCAAAGACAAAGCAAATAATGCTGTAATTCTTGATAAAGCAACCTATGATAAATTATTCAAAGAAGTTCCAACTTATAAATTGATTACTCCTTCTGTATTGGTTGATCGACTTCGTGTTAATGGTTCTTTAGCCAGAGTTGCTATACGTGAATTAGAAGAAAAAGGTTTAATTCGCAAGATATCCACTCATGGTTCACAACTCATTTACAGTATGTTGTTAAATTATTTTCTTTTCAAGTTTATAAATATATATATATATATATTTTTTCTTAACTTTTTCTTTTTTTAAAAAAAAAAAAAACTTTAAATTATAGCTCGTGCTACAGCTGCTATTATTGATAAGCCTGAGGATAAATAATTTTTTAAATAAAAAAAAAATTTTTTTCTTTTATTCAAAAAAGATATAAATGTAGAAATAAAAAGGAAGGGAAAACATTTGCTTATTAAGATATTTAAATCAATAAAAGATTCATTTTCATTAAAGAAAAAGTAACTTTCATTTACTCAATAGCTCCATGTTTAAATAAACCAAACTTTTGAAAGAATTTATTTTTATTTAATATTAGTTGATAAAATATTTTACATCATGAAATATAAATCAAATGTTTTGGTTCTCTTGACCACGTCTTCTAATATTTCTCCTTACTTTTGGAGCCGCATATCCAATACCTTCTCCTGCTTCAACTCTCAGGTAGGGAACTCTTTTCCATGGAATACCACAAACACCCAGTGAGCTATTTGTAATATGATCCAGCATAAACCATACTGGAAGTTCCAAAGTTCCTTTAACTATGGCATTGGTTTTAAAAAGTACTGACGAAGGGAGCGGCGAAAGAACGTGAAATGAATGAGATGCTGGATCGATGGATCTTATGATGGCCAATCCCAAACAATTATGTTTAGTTGGTGAAGGTGGAGGAAAATCAGGACAAGGAAAATAATTCGGAGGTTGCTTAAAAACAATTTATTAATTAGTTGATTATTAATTATTTTAATTAATATTAATGTAATAATAAAATAATTAACATACTGTTCGTGATCGCGGATCTTTTAATTCTTTTACGGATATTACGTCTTTGTCAACTTGTTCACTTGTATAAGGATTATCAATATCACCAATTAATCCTACAATCGAACCATTTAACGCGTACAAAAGTTGACTTAAAGGCACCTCTCCGGATAACATAAAAACCCCCCCAGTTAACCCTTTACTCCAATCTAAACACCATGGTACCCGACGGATCAACGGTAGGTTAAAACCCCACCATTTTGTATCTACTTGATTTACTGCCATGGCATTTGTTGAATAAAAGTATGACAAAAAGGTTAATAGTCGGTGATCGGATGCCCGATTTGAACGTTCGGATGAATCTATTGCTTCAACAAAAGCAACTTTGGGCGGTGCTTGGTCAGTAGGAGAGACAATATACTCTGGGAGTGATGGAAGGTTTTGATTGGTGAATGTTGCAGAATAAAACTGAAAAATATGTGTTGGTTTAGCAAAACCTATAATATGAAGATATAAATCATAACCCATTCCTATGCGTTTAATAGTCAGCAGTATTAGCATTAAAGTAAATAATAATTATTGTTATTATTAAATAGATCTATAAATGTTTGTTATGAATTTATGCACCTTTGCTCCATCCGTGAGTATTAATAATTAGAGGAACGTGTACTTGTCCATCATCATACATTCCGTACTCTGAACCACAAGCAATGTCACGACGATAAGCTGTAACTAATTCGCGCAAACAATCCAAGTAATAGTCAGGATCATCGCGTGGAGAATTATGTCCAATGAAATATGATCTATAGGGTTGTTGTATATGTGTAAATGGAGGACCTATGGCATATGTATGTTAATTTCAGATGTAATTGTAAATAAGAAAGTTCATTACTGGGTTGATAATTACCAAAGATAGGGGAATTCAATATATTAAGCGATACTAACCCACAAGGGGTGAATTCAGATTGTCCAACATCACTTTCAATATAAGCAACTTTGGGGCAACTTAAGAAATAAAAGATGTTAGAACATTAAGTTGCTATTTTATAACATACAGTTAACGAACATACACGTTGAGCAAGTTGTTAACCAAGTATCTGGAAAATGTTGATTTCCCAACATTTTTATGCCCACTAATGATGGCAATGGGAGGTACGCCTGATATAAAAAAAAAAAAAAAGAGTAAATGTGAATGTTATTTTGTAAATTCAAAATATATAAAATTCTTAAATATTACTAAAGTTTAAAGTATCATCCATGAGCTGGTTTGCTGAATTTTTCCAGGAAGGGGAAATTTTTATAGCTGTTGTTCCGGAAACTTCATCAAAAATCTAATGAATGTAAATTTGGATAAATACCTGAAACATTTGTATTGGAAGCACAAGAAGAAAATCGGATTAAAAATTTCTCTTACCGGATAAAATCCTTTAATATTAAACAAATCACGTTTTGATTGCTCAATCTCAGTATCACGATCAATTTTCTTGTTATTCGCGAGATTGTCGGTAAATATATTATTGAAAAATGAAGATGTAACATGCTCTATATCTTGAATGCCACACCATGAAAAGTCTCGTAAAACAAGAATAGTATCATATCTTTCCTCAGCTAAGTTCACATTTGATAAAAGCTTGTTAATCATCGACATTGTCGTTGAACAAGCTATAATTCCAGAATGTGAAAGTTTGCGCGTAGTCATCTCCTGTTTTTTTATTGATTCTATTTCTAACAAGGAATGTGTTTTTGGAGAAAACACTGGATGGAACGTAATATTAGAGTTCAAATCAATTGATAAACGATTTTCTGTTGTAATTTCGGAGGCAATAACACTGTGCAATCTATGACCCATAATAATCGCGTCTCCAAATATAGATGCAACAAGAACACTTCCTTGAAACATTATCGACTACAAATTAATTAATTTGTTAGATCGGATTAAACAGAGGAACGGAAAGTTAATTAATTATTTTATTTCATAATACCTCGCCACTTTTCATGGCAACTAAACATATATCTTTTTTTTTCTCATAACAAACAACGTTTGAAGTTGTAGGTATAAAGTGAGAACCCATGAAAAAAAAAGATTAAAAAGATAGCACACCCAACAAATGGACCGTAATAAGTTGCAGTTTTTGTTTCTTCCTATGACCCATCGTTCAAATAATCATTCTTTAAACATTCGAATTCCTTATAAATGGCACGATAGGTGACGTAATGATCACAAAATTAAAAAGGAAAAAAGGATTTTCATTTTTGAGAAAAAGAAAAAAAAATATATAGTATTTGTTTAATTCTCTCACTCATATACTTCAAATCAAAATGCCTCCAAAAAAAAACCAGCAATCTGAAAAGTCAAAGCAAAAGGACAAGCAAAAGATCGTTGAGGACAAGACTTTTGGCTTGAAAAACAAGAAAAAATCTGTAAAAGTTCAACAGCAGATCAAACAAATTCAAAGCCAAGTGATGGCAGCTGGCAATAGGAAGGTTTTGGTAAGCTATCCATATTTTTTTTTTTCGCCTATATATCGATATATCGATCTATACCTTTGACTCAATTGTCTCCCGAAAAATAGAAAGAGAAAGAAACCGAAAAACAAGCTCTTGCCAATAAAAAACTTGCCGAACAAAAAAAGAAAGATGAACTTGCTGAGCTATTCAAACCAGTTCAAGTACAAAAGGTACCATTTGGTGTGGATCCTAAAACGATATTATGTCAATTCTTTAAAGTTGGACAGTGTCAAAAGGGAGATAAGTGCAAATTCTCTCATGATTTGAATGTTGAAAGGAAGAGTGCGAAAATCGATTTATATACTGATTCGAGAAGTGAAGAAGAAAAGAAAGTAGGTAAGGAACATATTATTCAATTTCTCTTATTATTGCCACATTGAGATTATTTATAATTTATGAATTGATTTATGTAGATACCATGGATAAATGGGATCAAGAGAAACTTGAGCAAGTCGTTAAATCAAAACAAGGCAATCCAAAGACTACAACCGATATTGTATGTAAATACTTTTTAGAGGCGATTGAAAATCAAAAGTACGGATGGTTTTGGGAGTGTCCGAATGAAGGTGAGATATCCTTAATTTGTTTTTTTTCCCTAAAAAAATATATATATATATATATTAAGGACTTATAATTGACTTAATAAACAAATTATCTAGGTAAGAATTGCAAGTATAGGCATGCACTTCCACCTGGATTTGTACTGAAAACCAAATCTCAAAAGAAAGCTGAAGAGGAAGAAGTCGAACAAATCACAATCGAAGAATTTTTAGAAACCGAGGTAAATGCTTATTTTTTTTTTTGATTTAAATATCTTTATTCTTCACAATTTATTGATAAGTTTAAATGAATGTTTTTTTTACAAGCGACATAATTTGGGTCCTAACCTTACACATGTTACACTTGAAACGTTTACTGAATGGAAGAAGAGTCGTAAGGCGAAATTGGACGCTGAAGAAGAACTCAAAAGATCAGCCAAAGAAGCAGCTTTTAAAGCTGGTAAAGCTCAGGGCATGTCTGGTCGTGATCTTTTCACGTTCAATCCCGATCTCGTTAACCAATTGGACGATTATGATGAAGATGATGATGTCTTCGATCTATCTGGTTATAAGCAAAGTAACGATGGGCAAGAGGAACAAAATGGTGATCGAGTTGATCATAAACAGTCAGATGCAGAAGAAGAAGAAAATACTTCCGAAAATCCTTACGGAGAAGGAAGCTGTAGTGGTGTTAGCAATGGTAAAACAGAAATTACGAACAATAATTCAACAATTTTGATCACTGAAGAAGGTTTAGAAGTGAAAGAGGATTTGTTTGCAGGAGAAGACCTGGATGATTTAGATGAAGAAGAAGAATGAATTTACATACGCTATATGTTTAAACTTTTCAACAATTCATTGCATCCCTCAGATTAGATTAAGATAAAAAAGAATCAAAGATATATTATTTTTTATTTTATTTTTATTATATATTTTTTTTTTCATTGAACATTCAAAATTAAACATTAAAAAAAAAAAAAAATTTGTCTATAATTAAAGGATTGAATTTGTATTTTAATATCAGAATTTAATATAATAAAATTACCTTTTGGATAATGGCGCAGTTAAATTCATGTGATTCATTTCCATGCATTTTATTACAGGTTACATCATTTTCAACCGGCAGACCGCAGCGATCGGAATTTTAAATTGTTGAATATCAAAGTTTCTTTACAAATTCCATATCTAGTTGTTGCTTTTGTTGTCCAGAAATTCGGAACATATCTGTGTAAACTCCTTTATTAACACCTAAATAATCCCTAATATCAAATACCTATTTTTTTAAATCACCACTTTTTTTACCACACTTTATTACCACACATTTTGTCTGCTAATTTATTTCTTAGTATGAGTCGTCCCCGCGCACCAAAAGGAAAGATAAAGCCACCGAAGAAACCGGTAAGTTTTTACCTATAATCGGGTCCGGTTTGAAAGGCCTACTTGCAGCAAAACCGTTACTTATATAAGCGCATAGATTTGTACTCTTTTGCTGTTTCATTTCTTTGCTCTTTACTGTTTCAATGTGAAAGTTTTATTGAGTATAGATTTAAAGAGTCAGTTGTGAGTTTGACCTTCTACCTCCCAACTAAAAAAAAAAACCAACCAATAGTATTTGCGGATATTTTATATAAATAAATTTCTGCAGACTTCCTGTCAGACTTTCACGGTCTTGACTTGGAAGAAAAATATGTGAACTTCTCTTTTTAATTTTTTTCTTTTTGAATAAAAGCTTATAATATAAACTTATTTATTTAAATATGTCTTCACGTCGTTCTCAGAATTCCGCTGACCTCCAATTTAATGACAATTGGGAGCGTTTGGCTCAGGCTATTCGTGAAATTCATAAAAAAAATGCGTCGATCCTCAGTTTCGAAGAACTTTATCGTAACGCATACAACATGGTCCTTCACAAAAATGGAGACAAACTATATAACGGTGTAAGAGGAGTAATTACACAACACTTGGAAGAAGTTGCTCAAGCACAGGTAGTACCGGCTTTCCCACTTTCAGGTGCAAGTAGTTCTCAAACTAACCCTAATGGAGCTGGTGGTGCCAACTTCTTGAAAGTTTTAAAGAATGTTTGGGAAGACCATACTACTTGTATGCTTATGATTAGAGATATTTTAATGTATATGGTGAGTAACAATGAAATTATTTGAGAATTCCTTTACGTAAAAATATTTGTTCGAGGAAATTTCTTTCCAATATAGGTCACATCTAATAAATTACACTATAACTAAAAGGATCGGGTTTACGCAAAAACAGCAAACGTCCCCCTTGTCTATGATCTCGGTTTGGAACTTTTTAGAGACACAATAGTCCGTTCACAGAAACACCCAATTCAGAATCACCTTCTTGATGTGCTCTTACAACAAATTAAACTTGAACGCGAAAATGAAATTATAGATCGTTCTAGCGTGAAAGCATCAATGGACATGTTACTGGAGTTGACTGACGCGTCGACGAAAGATACAGTATATGCTACAGATTTCGAAGGTCGCTTTTTAGAAACAAGTTCTGAATATTATAGAGTTGAAGGACAAATGCTTGTAGGAGAATGTGATGCCCCAGAATACATGAAAAAGGTTGGCAAATATATATTTATCTTATTATTCGGACACCATAACAATTTATATATTAATAGCAGCAACATTACAACTTTTTAGGTAGAAAAACGGCTGATCGAAGAAGAGCAACGTGTACGGCACTATCTTTCACCATCTACAGAACCAAAAATCCGTAGTATTGTAGAAGAGGAACTAATCTCAAAACATCTTAAGACAGTAATCGAAGTACCTACTAAGAATATTTCAAAATTATTATTTTTTTATTAAAAAAAAAAAAATTGAAATATTAACAAAATTTAAAATGATATGGCAATGCTTTTTTTTAGATGGAAAATTCCGGTTTAATTCCTATGTTAAGAAATGAGAAGATGGATGGTAGGTTTCTAATTCTTTTTCTTTTATTAGAAGTTGTTTTTTTCTCTTTGGATTAATGTTTATTTGATTTCAGATCTTGGAAGAATGTATAAATTATTTGGACGAGTTTTAAAAGGTCATGAGGAAATGAAATCCGCTATTAGTGTACATATACGTGAACTTGGCAAAGCAATAAATGAAACAGTGTCAAGTAATATATCTTCCGAAAGTAGTGGTGGGTCTGGAGATAAACAAACAGGAGCTTCTGTCGCTATAAAATGGGTGCAGGAAGTTCTAGACCTTAAAGATAAGTTTGATAAGGTTCAAAATTTAGCTTTATCTAATGATAAGGCATTCCAAACATCATTTAACGAGGTAGGATAGTTAAAAGTTATGTGTTATATCATTGTTCAGAGTTATTGTGACCTTTAATTTTAATTTGATTTTTTTTTAATAAGGCATTTGAGCATTTCATCAACAAAAACTCCAAATCACCCGAGTTTATATCATTGTTTATTGATGATAATCTTAAAAAAGGGTTAAAAGGGGTGGGTTTTAATTCCGCTGAATTTTTCTACTTAAGGCATTCGATTAAATTTTTATAAATTTAGAAAACGGAAGAAGAAGTTGATAGTGTATTGGATAAAACCATCACGTTATTCCGTTTTATTGGAGAAAAGGATGTGTTCGAGCGATATTACAAACAACATTTGGCCAAGCGATTGTTGCTTGGTCGTAGTGTTAGTGATGATGCAGAAAGGGGTATGATAGGCAAACTTAAGGTATGTTAGAGCGACGTATCAGAATTTCAATACTTTTAACGTTAATTCTTATTCCAAGTTTTTGTCTTTATACGTTCTAGGTGGAGTGCGGTTATCAATTTACCACTAAACTAGAGGGTATGTTCAATGATATGAGAATATCAGCTGATACAATGGCAGATTTTAAAGACTTCTTGGATAAGTCTGTCTTAGAGGTATGCTTTTAGATAAATATATATGTAATTTGATTATTAATTCGCTTAAGTTCATTTTTTAATATGTTTTATGAACCATAGAAACCCAAAATGGATTTAGGCGTCACCGTCCTTACTTCAACGTTTTGGCCAATGAACCTGTCTGCCAGTCCAAGGTGCAATTTCCCAGCAGAAATAACGAAGGCTTGTGAAACTTTCCAAAGGTTTTATTTAGGTCGACATAGTGGCCGTAGATTAACGTGGCAATCGAATATGGTAAAAATAATATTATTAGTAAAATACTGAAAATGATAGCATTACTAACTTCATGACTTATTAAATGTTTAGGGTACAGCTGATATTCGAGGTTCATTCAAATCACGCAAGCACGATTTAAACGTATCAACGTATCAAATGGTTATCTTACTTATGTTCAATGACTTACCCGAAGGAGAGTCTCTATCATATGAGGTATGAACAAATATAATACTTTTTAGATGTATATCTTTTAATAATTCTATTTGCTTGTTTTTGTTTAGCAAATTAAAGGTGAAAGCGATATTCCGGAGTCAGACCTCAAACGTAATCTTCAGTCATTAGCTTGTGCGAGATATAAAATCCTTGTAAAAGAACCCAAAGGAAAAGATATCAATCACGGGGACGTATTTTATTTCAATAATGAATTTACAGCTCCATACCAGCGTATTAAAATTCCAACAGTAGCTAGTAAAGTAGAAACTGAAGGCGAAAGAAAAGAAACACGAGAGAAAGTAGAGGAGGCTAGAAAACATCAAACGGAGGCTGCTATTGTAAGAATTATGAAGGATAGGAAGACAATGGAACATAATAATTTAATTGCAGAGGTTACAAAACAACTACAACCAAGGTTTGTACCAATTCCAGCATTGATAAAGAAGAGAATTGAAGCATTAATTGAACGAGAGTACTTGGAAAGAGCACCAGATAGGTAATATTCGGATTTCTATTAACTTTAAATATATATATATATGTCGTTTTTTTTTCTGATGATTGACTTTTTTTTTCTTTTTTTTAAAAAAAAATATTAAAGTAGGCGGGTATATAATTATCTAGCATAAATTTTTTAGATATCTCATAAGGACATTTTAATTAGAATCTTTCTATTATCAAATCTGACGTTGTAATACAAGTTGATGTTTTCTTTATTTCTTTATTTTTTTCATTGACAGACCTTTATCACTATTCTGCTTTTTATCGATTTTTTCTTTAGTTAAGCTTTAGTTTTATGTATAGCTTTTTTATTCTTTTTTATTCACCAATATTACTTTAACAAAAAATACATATTTTTGGTAATTTGTAAAAAAAAAAAAAAAAAAAAAAAAATAATTTTTTATTGTCAGTACTTTGAGAATATATCAACAAATACTGCCTTGTATGATACAATTATTTATACAAGGAATAACAATGGATCTTTTATAAAATCACCACCTATATAAAAGAAAAAAAAAAAAAAAAAGGAATGTTTCTTATTAAAAAAACAAAGAAATATTAAGCAAAAAAAAAAATGAGCGTTGTAGAAATTTAGTTACATTATCCTGTGTACTTTAATAATTCTTCTTTACCAGCTTTAGAAGCTAAAAAATCGTGTCTCTTTTTTCTATCATAATAAATAAGATAACCAAGGGTAATAGGAACTCCAACGTAAGGAGCTTGAGAGATAGTGCGACGAAAAACGTTAAAAACACCATGTTTGATGGCACCAGCGAATGCTCGTTGTTGATATGGAGAAATGGTATAAGTAACTATTCCCTTTTGTATGGGACCTCCCAAATGTCCCCACCAACGATGCATAATTATTAAATTTGTATGTAATGGGTTGGAATGAAATTATTTTCTATTTTTTTAAACCAATATATTAAATTAATTTTTATTCTTTAATAAAAGAAACTTTTATGCTACAAAATACTTGCTTAAATGAAAATGTAGCTTTTATATAAAAAAAAAATTCAAGCAACTTCTAAATACGGATGATTTTTTTTTTATAATTTACTTTGATTGGCTATAACTAATCTATTGATCACGTTCGATCAAAAAAAAAAATATTCCTTTATTATTGGTATAATAAGATATGGACCATTATTTGGTAATTTACCAACAAATATCCGAATAAACGCGTTTTTGTTCTCAAGAAGTTTTATTTTTTTTCGCAACTTATCATTAATTGATATGTTATCTATAGATTACTTTGTACAATAATGCAAGTATTTGTAATAAACACTTAACTGTTAAGAAATTTCTCTTTTAAAGCCATTTGAATTTTTTAATGATTCTTTCCCTTGATTATATAAACGAGCTACGCTAAAACGTTCAAATTATGAATGCTTTTATTCTTTGAAAGGGCTATTCCTAATATTTGTTGCAAATACATTTGGAATTAAGGTAACATTAACCTTGACGTACTTTATATATTTTCTTCTTTATTACTAACTTTTGTATTATACATAAAATCACATAAATTTTGAGAATGGTCATTGAGTTTCAATTCAACTGGATACCAAATAAATAAATATATATCAAGAGGAAGTATTATATATATGATTTATCTAAATAACTCTACTTTTACTTATACTTTATCTTGTCTTGATTCTTGTTTTACCGGTCTTGCGCCAAAAATAGTACTTCCAATTCGAACATTTGTAGCTCCTAATTTTAAAGCTTCTTCAAAATCATCAGACATTCCCATACTTAATTCCAATTCAATTCCTCTTTCCTTCCTAAATTCTTCTTTTAAATTTTTCAACAACTGCATAAAGAAAAAAAATAATTAATTAACAAATTTTTTTTTTTTTTAAAAAAAAAAAGAGCAAATTATAAGGAATACTCGCTATAAAATCCGGATTTGGTTGACCTTCATTAAAATGATTCCTGTTAGGAGCTCCAATAGTCATTAACCCTCTTAATTCTAATTTATTACAATTATCTTGAATATAATTTAATAATCCTAAACATTCATTTGGTTGAATTCCACTTTTCGCTAAAAAGGGAGGGAAAAAAGGAAAGCAGCGCGTTATCTATCAAATCATTTACAAGGTTTCTGCCTGTATATCAAACACGTACATTCTTCACCACTTGTATTCACTTGAAGAAATATTTTTAATTTATCATCTCTCGATACGCACGCTTTATTCATTAATTCTGCTTTTTTTTTACTATCAATTGTCTCTACTGCCCATAAATTTGGTATTTCTTTACAAATAAAAAAAGGTTAGGAATTACATCAACGTTAATAAATAAATCAATGCTATTAGTAGATTGATTGATTACCTGCTAACATTTTACATTTATTACTTTGTAATGTTCCTATAAAATGCCATTGAATATCTAATGGTAACTAATTAATTATTTAAAAATGAATACTTAAACATCCCTTGTATTTTTAATTTTTTCTTTAAAAAAAAAAAAAAATTTAAATGTAAGTTACCATTTTACTTTTTTCACTTAATTCTTGCACCTAAGTAATCAAACGACATTAATTAATCATTTTGTTTTTAATCAAATAAATAAATAAATTGATAAGTAATACTCACATAATTTTCACCAAAATGTCTCTGTCCAAACTCATAAGCAAAGCGGATATCTGAAGCTGGTTTGTACTTACTAACGGCAACTAACCTAACCTACCATAATAAAAAAAAAAATTTTTTTCAATTAATTGATACCGTTCACAAAAAAAATTAATCCCTTGTGAAATTTAAAATTTAACCTCTTTTTGTCTTTGAGTAATTGCCTCAATACATTGTCTAACGTATAATAAATTCTTTTCGATCTCTTCTTTTCTTATTACAACATTATTCTCGATAGAAACTTTCTCCTCAGTTGAGGCCATTCTTTTATTATTTAAGTTATGTAATGAATTTATTATATTACTTCTATTTGATCTGATTGATATATTTTTAAGAATAAACATTGAAAGGGGATTTTTTGCTTATCATAGATTTTTACCATCTATATTTGGTAACGATACCTCGTGCAAATTGAAAATTTTCTGCTCCTCAAATTAGGGAGGGATGGTCCCTTAATTAACCTGATTAACCAATTTCGGTTAATTTGAATTGACCAATCAAATCAAAGAAAATTTTAGATCGTTAAATGTCGAATTTGAGCTTGCAGAGAGAAATTTTCTACTTATGGATTTATTCACAGTAATGATCGCGTTAAAAGTTGGTTTATATTTTATGGAAATCTACAGAATTCAAGAAAATAATGTTATGTAATAAAGGCAAGAAATTTGTAAAGATAAATAATGAAGGAGACGGTGAACATGACAATGACGATTTATTGAATATTTGATGATCAGATGATGCAGGCGATGGTCCAAGCATTCTTACATAGTATTTCCAGGTTTAAATCAAATATAATAGATTTGACGCAATAACATAGATATTTGTAATAGATATAGTAATATAATAAAGTACCGTTTAAAGTTTTTTATATAAAACTAATATTACGGTTAATTGACATCTTAATTAACCGGTAATTTCACATCCCTGTAATAGTTGAATATTAGTTCAAAATATGCGCATTTTATATCTAAACTTCCACCAAATTTGAGCTTTTTTTTTTTTCATCGTGACAAATTTTTTGATCTAAAATATTCAAAGTTGCATGCGGCATACCTTTGCTGTTCTTATTTAATTAAAATATATAAGACGCATCCATTAGAAAGTCCGAAGAAAATTAAATAGCATTAGTGTAACAGTAAAATATGAGTTTTTTAATTTGAATTTTAACGTGATATTCCTAGAAAAACAATAACCAATCATTTATTGTATATTTAATGTTGTTAAACTTACGCAATAAAGTAAAATTACAAACAAATAATTTTTTATAAATTAATAATTAATTAATTACGTTTACAAAAATTCTTTGCAGATTTACGGAGTTTATTTCTATAACGGGACCTTTTGGTTACATCCAAATCCTTTAGAATGCCTTCTAAACTTCACGCTATAATTATTATTATGCCTGCAAAATACCATGTAGTGTATAAATTATCATTAGAGAGCCTTTCTCACTCAAATGTTCCACCAATACCAAACGCCAGTCCAAAGATTGCGAAACATTCGTTGGGGCATTTGTAACAGTAATGCTCGATGGTTGGACTATGACCACATTCGTCTTATACACATCAGTGTAGCCACTCCAAGCGATTCAGCGAACTTTTGCCACTTGTACCATGCAATCACACTTCCAATAGCATTGGTAGTTGTGAGAAAGAGTGCACAAAAAGACTGAATATCTGTACCAATCCCTATTTCATTCCATAAAATTAACCATCGCCACAAAAAGTCACCACCGACGCAACAATCATGATTCAGTGCATTATTAAAAATACAATAAATTTAATGTTATGCTGCCTTGAAGGAACTGTCATAACTTTCCATACGTAAGTTCTGATAATTTCCTTCGCGAGATCTCCATCTTGTTCCATTAAATGAGCACTTCCATATTCGAACTTCGAGACCTGGTTAACTGAGACCATTTTCCAGCTATAATACCACCTTGAAAGTGTTCAGGATTTTCCAATCAACATAATTGGCGAAGCACGCTTTCGCTTGTGTGCACGCAAGCACCAGGCTGTGACTCCTAAGATCATGCCAGAGAATGGTATATTTTTGAAAGCAATGTCAACTGCATTACAAGTTCACCAGAATGAAAGCTGATATATCTAGGACAAAATCCTTGGGATGGACATTTTGATAATTTAAAAAAACTAGATTTTAATGCGAAATTTCATACGCATGGAACAAGTATCACGCTATATTACAGTTAAATCAAAATTTGTTATTTTTGGTTACTCTTTACTACCGTAACACTATTGTAACGTTCGATACGCAAAATACAAGTCATACGATTTCTTTCAAAATATTTTATTGTCCGTATAGTTTTCAATAGATATTGTAACATGTTGAATGTGAAAATAGTTATTTTATGAATGAATGATAACTTTAATTATATAGATTATAATGTTAAACGAGTGATGATATTGTTTAGTTCGAATGAAGATTTACGATACATAATAAAATAAACAATATACGATAAAATAAAATATATATTATATCAGTCTCGCGAACTTATAAAAATTGTTTCTGTGTCTTTCAAATGATTCGCACACATGTCGTAATCACATTGTTGACATCTTAGATTCATACCACCCCTATGTTCCCATCGGTCCTCGTCCCATACCCATGACCTTACGTAACGTAAAGGATGCCGTTTTGGGTAGTAATCTTCGGGTTTACAATCAGCATCAGGTTTGCAATGGCTAAGGCAGATGTAAAATTGCAAATCGTGCAAAGATATGTAGACGCCTATGCAAAATAGAATATACAGGTTTTTGGTTAAGCATGAAAGGGAAAAATCATCTTACATTTGATTGACTGTATTTCCCGTAGACGTCACACCACCAGTTCCTTAAATTTGTCTCTTTCAAAACATTTTGGCAGTAAAATTTTATATAAAGTTTTAAAATCTAAATTATAAAGTAAATTTATATTTTAATTAAAAATTTTACCAATAAATTTAATAATTATTTAAGCCAATCAAGTATAAAATGCAATTAAAATACATATAAAAAATTTTTTATTTCTTATAAAAAATGAATTCTATAGTTTTATAGTTATAAGAAATAAGAATTTATTTTTATTTTACTTGTTTAAAAATAAATAACTTAGTTTAACATATATAAAAGTATTTATATTTATACAATTTATCAATTGAAATTAATAAATAATTAAAAAAATAAGGTAATATATATAATTTTGGTTAATTAATCATCTCAGTATAATATTATATATGTATAATATCTTTACTATTAAAATGATTATTATCATTAATGATTATTAATAAAAATCCTAAATATATTATAAATATATTAGAAATATTAATACTTTTAGATAATTAGTTTCAATTTAAATAAAGTTTTATTTATAAAAAAAAAAAATATTATAATATTATTTTCTATTATTTTAATAAATTTTATAAATACAAGAAATTTAATAATTAAAATCATTATATTTAACTAACATTATAAATAATTAATATATAAAACTGTCTTTAAACTAAATTATCTAAATAATAAACATATTTCTTTATAAGTACTATTATCTCTTTTATAATATAATTTTTATTAAACTAGCAAAATATTCAGTTTATAATAGAGTTCTGAATAAGTCAAATTAACTTATAAGTCAGATAAGCCAAGTCAAGTTTAAATCAAGTTGAGTTTATATTTTTTTACTCAATGATTTACAAGTCAAATCAAATTCAAGTTAAGTTAAATATTTAACTCAACTCAATTTAAATTTGACTCAAATTCAACTCGACTCAAGTTGACTTAAAATAGTATTATTAATAAATTAACATTTTAAAACAATAAAAATTATACATTATAATATTTAAAATAGTTGAAAATTCAAATTTATTTTATTAATTTAAATATTAATTTTAAATTTCATTATAAAATAATTTTCTTAAATAATAAACTATTAAAAATCTATTTTTTAGAACATTTAAATTAAAATATTCTAAAATAGCAGATCTTAATAAAATGATATAATCATATTTAACCTCTACTATAATACCTATTTCACTCAAAACCAAATCTTCACCTTCAAAATCTCCCAAAAAAACTATTACATAAAATGTATATTTATAATCATTATTATCTTATGAGAATTAGTAGTACCTTATTTTATTAAATTTAATTTATCATTTTCTTCTGATATACTTAAATTTATGGCAAAACTTTTAAAAAATAATAAATTAGTCTAATGTTAACATCTGAAAAATCTATATTAAAATTATATACAATTTAGGAAAATTAATTTTAATTAAATTTTTAATTAAATTTTCTAAATCTATAATTAATAGAAATAATATATTATTTAAATAAAAATAAAATTCAAATGTTTTTTCAGATTTTAATACTTCTTGAAAATGTTTTATTTTAATATCTATTATCATATCAAATTCTATATTATTTTTAAAATAATTATATAGATTATTACTTTTTCTTTTAATTTATTTAAAATTAAAAAAATGATCTAATATATAATTATAAATAAATTTAGCTGCACAATAATATTTTTCTTTAATAATAAGTAATATATAATTATTATATCCTCTTATTATTGTATAACCTTTATATATTATATATATATGTCATAAATTTTCATCATTAGAAAATGAATCTTTAATTATATTTTTAAAATTATTTGTAATATAATTAAGTACAGTGTTAAGTTTTTCAAATATTTGATTTCTTTTATTTGAAAAAAAACTTTTTTTATCAAAAAAATTTTTAATAATTAAACTTAATACGTATAATTTATTATTTATAAATTGATAAATAAAATAATTTTTTATGTTATTATTTATCTTAAAATAATTATTGATAGGATATCTTTTAATATTATCATTATATTTTGAAATTAAATTTTATAATCCTTTTATATTATTTTCAACTTTTAAAGAAATTACAAATCCAATATCTAATTCTTTAATTTTTTGTTCATATTTTTTTATTATTTTTTTATTATTTTTATTTGTAATAATAAATGTAGAGGTAGAAATAGATGCAAAGGTAGAAGCAGAGTTTGAGATAAATGTAGATATAGAAGTAAAGGTAGGAGCAAATGCAGAAGTAGGGATAGAGACAAAAATAGAAGTAAAAAGCTCACTTAATTTACTATTATTATATGATGATATTATTTTCATTCGTTTATTAAGTAAAGGATCCATTAAAAAGTATAAATAATTTGAAATTACTTTTGCTTTTGTTAAAGCTAAAGAAGATTTATTTTTTTTAATTCTAATTAATTGAGTAGTTATAATGTTGATTTCTTAAAAAATATTATTTCTAAAAAAAAATACAAATTTACAGCTTTATCTTACTATAAATTATATTAAGAAAAGAAAAAAATAAATAAATACAAATTCAGCTTTATCTTACTGAAAATTATATTTATATATATAAAAAAACTTGCATAAAGAAATAATCTGATACCAAAACTATAAAAAGATTATTTCTATACTTTGAACACTATTCAAATAAATTATGAATTAAAAGTCTTTAAATAAAATTTTTTGAAAAAATTGATTTTACTATTTTAGTATAATAATTTATAAATATCTTACTGAACTGATATCAAGACAGCTCAAAATTTTAGAAAAAAAATAATTTGTAACCTCTAAATACCCTTACTGAATTGATATTGCAGCAGCCTAAAATTCTAAAAAAAAATAATTAATAATCTCTAAACACCCTTACCAAACTAATATTACGGCAGCCCAAAATTTTAAAAAAAAATAATTAGTAATCTCTAAACGTCTTTATCAAACTGATACCATGGCAGTCTGAAATTTTAATAAAAAATAATTAGTTATCTAAAAAATGTATAAATTAATTATTTAACACATTAATCTAATGTTATATAAGTAAATTTTACTTTTTAAGAATAATAAACTGGTTTATTTTAAATCAATTAATTAATCAATCAATTTATTTTTCTTTTTTTTTTTTTTTTCTTTTTCCTTTCAATCCATTTTTTCATTATTTCTCTTTCTTGTCGATTGATTCTTTTTTTATATTTCAGTCAATCATTTTGTTTTTTTTTTTTTTTTTTTTTTTTTTTTTTTTTTTTTTTTTTTTTTTTTTTTTTTTTTTCTTCTTTTCTTTTTTTTTTTTTTTTTTTTTTTTTTTTTTTTTGTTTTTTTTTTT